AAGAAAATAATCAAAGTTAGTTGAATAAAAATACTAAATAAAGATAAAATAAACATTCAGGGACACCATGAGCCGTCATGCTGCCTGGGACAGCAACCTTGATTGGCGCCCTTATTTATCAAAATTTCCCTGTATTATAGATAAAGGACCTCTTTTTTTTTTCAGGTACCTTCTTTTTATTTGGTGCCTCTGGATATTTGCCACCCGGGACAAACTGTCCCCTCCTCCTCCTCCTTTTCTTGGCAGCCCTCTTAACATTCATAAGATTTTATCATGAAAATTTTTTATTTTTCACAGTATCAAATTTCATGTTGCATGCGCGAACTCATATGTGATCAGATTGCTGAAAAAAAGTAATAGCGGTTGTTTTTGACCAAAACTCGTTCCCAAAAATTTGAACAGCTATATATATATATATATATATATATATATATATATATATATATATATATATATATATATATATATATATATATATATATATATATATATATATATGATACAATTAATTGATACTTGTGTGTGTGTGAGTGTGTGTGTGTGTGTGTGTGTGTGTATGTGTGTGTGTGTGTGTGTGTGTGTGTGTGTGTGTGTGTGTGTGTGTGTAGTGATGCTGTATTAGAGTGCAAATACTATTAAGAAAGTGCTCAATTAATTGAACTATAAGGTTAACTATAACTATACTGTTTCTTAATTTTTCCTTGGAGTACATCAATTTTGACTGGATTTTCGAAATAACTTGAATTTTGGAAATTTAGTTATTTTATCCACAGTGAAAGGTTTTTCATCAGAGAAGATTGTCACACGCCCAGGGTAAGATTTTCGCCAGTTTAACAATTTTTTGCATCGCTCTTTCCTACTTTCTTTCTGTTTATTAGTGATAAGATGCTTAGTCACAACAGCTCTGGATTTAAGGTTTAAATCTTTCATAACTTTTTGCATTGTGGAGTTGGCAACATTGGCTTTCCTTGCCAACTGGTGGATGGAGCGCAATGGGTTTTACTTGACTTTTCTTTCAACAGACCTTAAAAGCTGAGATGATCGTTTCTCAGGTTTTGGCTTATTAAAACGTCATTTGATATCTTCTGTTTCATGAAAAAGTTTTCTTACTTGAAAAATTGCTGTTCTGGAGCAGTTTAAAGCCTTTCTGATATCTGATGTAGTCTTATCCGATTGCAACATTTGCAGAATGCTTCGTCTTTTTGATTCTTGCAGATCCATTTTAATTAAATTTTTTAAATTTTTACATTTTTTTTATTTCTGTGTTGATGTCATTGCGTAATTTGTAAACAAATAGATCCACGGATATCTACAAGCATGAATAGAGCCTTAAATTTGAGCATAACGCAGTTGCGTGGTCACCTGGTATAGCTATAATATATACATAGAAAATAAAACTATGCGATTTTCACAATTTTAATTTCACGCTATTGCAATCATCAAGTCAAATACAAATTTTTTCCACCTAAATATTTTTATAAAAATAGAACTAGTCACATGAAAGTATTACATAACACTATTGTTACGAGCACATGGATTTAATCCTCATTGTTATAATCATTGTTATGAGCACATGGATATAATTGTCATGGTTATAATCATTCTTTGTGATTGCTTAACAATCATTTTATTAAAAAAACAGAATAAAAATCCATTAAAAAGTCTTGTAAAAATGCTATTTTTTTATTTCTGTTGAAAGCTGTTATTCTTTGTGCATTAATATCTACAATTTTTCCATGTTATACCAGTTTGTATCATATGAGCTAGTCAAGTCACATATATAAATCATTGACAAATGATTTTTATATATGACTTGACAAAAATTTTAATTAAATAAAAACTTTGTCTCTGATATTTCTTTGTAATTTCTTGATTGTTATTAGTGGGTGCCATTCCGGGACTTTATTCTCGGGATTGAAAATTTGATAGATCCCGGGATTTCCTGGGGATTTCACATTTTTAAGAATTTTTTTCTGAAAAAAAAAATATAATAAAAAAAAAATGTTTTATAAATTTAGAAAGTTTTATTTCAAGTTTTTTAAATATGTTTTCAAAAAACACAAGACATCAAGTTTTATTTCAAGTTTTTTAAATAAATTTTTAAAAAACACAAGACATCAAGTTTTATTTCAAGTTTTTAAAAAAAGTTTTCAAAAAACACAAGACATCAAGTTTTATTTCAAGTTTTTAAAATAAGTTTTCAAAAAACACAAGACATTAGTAAAATGGTCTGATAGACCTACTCTTTTCTTTGTTACAATGTTACTTGCAGTAGAAAAAACTTGTTCAAATTCTGTCGATGTGGGTTTTATTGTCATTATGGAATCATAAATTTTTTTTAAAGTATTAGTTATTGTACCTGTTGCCGCAAATAATTTCATCTCCATTTGCACAGATGTTGTTTATCAGGTTTTGCTACCTCCATAGTTTTTGGGATTTTATTATTGCACTCTCCAAAGACTTTTTCAACAAATCATTTGTAGTTGATGATGAAAGTAAAATAGAATCGTTTGCATTTGTTGTTGGTACATCAATTAAAAGTACTACCAATGATAATTTCATGATCATCAGAAAAATATTAGATTTGTAAATTTTTTTCTAATTTAGATACTGCTAAAACTGATGATAGAGCAAAAAAAATTCTATTACTACATTCATTTGTATTAGATTTTAAATTTTCTGGATTTTGAAGAAACATTGCAAGCGAAATCAAATTTTTTGATCGCCTTTCTAATAATCTTTTCTGTAGGGCTTCTAAGACATTTTTTGATAAGGTACCAGGTAAATCTCTAATGGAATTAAAGAGAAACTGCATGACTCCTTCAGCATTAACAAGATTACAATCTCTTGCACTGAGTGCTTCAACTGCCATTTGCACCGGTTTTAGGATATTTAATAATTCCTGCATCATATTAATCTCATTTTCATTCAAATTTATCTGGGAGTTTAAGGCTATTAGAGTTTTTTTAATACAGGATTTCAACAAAAGATAACGCTCTATCATTGGAACGATACTGTTCCATGTAGTTGGAGAATCCAACATTCTTTTCCATGGTCCATTTTAACATATTTTTGAAGAAGACAGTTTTTTACCACTGATTTCCTGAAAAGCTTCACAATTTTGCAAACATTGTTCAAAACTATTTTAAAATCTTCTTGTTCTTCTAAAATGTAATCATTTCCAAATAACTCTTCATCAGCATTCCCTTCTACTTGTACACCATCATCCTCATTTTCTGAATCTAAATCTTGATCAGATTCTTCAGCAGAAGAAAACTCTAAATAATCATCATTTAAATAGCTTCTAGGTTTTAAATTTTTTTATAAATGTCGGTTATTGTGAGCTGAATACCATGATTAAGACATAATTGGTGGAACATAAATGATGACTCTCTCCCAAATTTTTTCATAACAGATGCTCGATCGGTTTTTATTGCCAAAACATCACTTAAGTTAATTTTAAAACTGGAAAGTTTTTTTTGAAGTAGATTTTTTCAAACTTCAGCTGAACAAGACCCAGATTATCATAGCTTCCGTCCGAATAATGCATATTTGCGTTTAATGATCGTCAATTTTTAAAGCTTGTCCATTAATCAAGTGTCAAACTTAATAATGAGTTCTCTTTTGTGTACAATTTTTTTTTTTTATAGTTTAACATTTTTTTTATCGTTTTTTTTTTATAGTTTAATTAACACATTTTTTAGTTCTCTTTTGTGTACAATTTTTTTTTTTTTATGGTTTCCAGTTTTACTAATTCGTAATAATCATGTACGAGTTTCATAACGTGGGTTTTCCTCTTAGGCAACTGAAACCCACGGGCACTCAAACTTTCCCTTATGAACAAACTTTTGCAAATTCCAGAAACGTAAAATCCATCCAAAGCACATAATCTTGCTACTACTTCAGCCGTAGATTGTCTTTTAACATAATTAAAGATTGTAGGCTGAGTTTTAATTTTAGAAATCTTAGAAGTTTTTGGTCCTGCTTTCAAATTGGCCTCACTTTCTTTGCGTTTTATAGCCTTTTTCGGATGAACAGGCGATAGGTGACGAATTAATCCACTGGTCGATGATCCTTTGCATCCAATATTTGTTGAGTAGTATTTGCAAATCGCCTTTTCACAACTCTCGTCCTTTTCGAAATGGTTCCAAACTTCTGATGAATTCTTTTTTAACATGGTCTGATAATTGTACTGTGTAATAAAAATAACTTTATGAGTGTAATAATAATTAAATCAATTCAAATTTTACTTTTTATTGCTTACCTTTTTATCTACCAAGTATAAACCACTTCAAAATAAAATAAATTTCACAAATTATACTCAAATTATATAAAAAAATATATATATATTAATTATTAAAATTCTTTATTACACAAAATGACAAAAATATATATATATATATATATAAATATATATATATATATATATATATATATATATATATATATATATATATATATATATATATATATATATATATATATATATTCAATGGTTACTAAATGACTTGAACAATTACCAATGATTTATATATATATATATATATATATATATATATATATATATATATATATATATATATATATATATATTCAATGGTTACTAAATGACTTGAACAATTACCAATGATTTTTATATATATATATATATATATATATATATATATATATATATATATATATATATATATATATATATATATATATATATATATATTCAATTTTCTAGATCTTATAGATCTTTCTTAGACTAATCCAGATGCAAAACATGAAAATACACACAAAACTAGTTTTTATGTTTTATAATGGAGGATAAAATTATAAAATATTGAAGAATAATTTAAATTGCGGATAAAATTATAAAACAAGATCTTAATAAATATCTTAATAAAAAATTAACAGTTTTTTGTAAGACATAAGTTGCATTTTATAGATATAGGGTATATGTTTATTTCCGATTTTTTTATTTGCTTTTAATTAATTTTTTTTTAATCTTGTAGGTTCTAGAAAGTGACATTGATAGAGTTTTGGAGTTATTTGCTCAAAGAACTTTAGATAAACTTAAAATAGAAGAAAATTCCACTATTAAATCTATGAGTCAAGTCGAGTCTTCCGAGTTAAGGCCAGGTGAAGTTCAATCGTTCAAATCTCAAGAAGTGAGTATTACGAATTTACCGGAGTTACAGTTTTCATCGTCACCTTAATTTTTACTGTAGTTACAGTTTTCATCGCCACCGTAATTTTGTGGTTTCATTTCATCGGAATCATTTATTCTGCAATGGATTTCTACGAAAAGTAATTTAATACTTTAGTGTAACTAAAGTGTTACCTAGACTTCTTATTTATATTTGATACGCGCGAAATGCTTTTTTTTAGATTGCTTGAGTGATGCACGCATTTTTTGACATGTTTAAATTTATTCGGTCTTTTAAAATGTTAAATGTTTTCTTTATCTTGAAATTTATTTTTTAATTTACTTATTTCGCACGCTGAATATAATTCAGGTGTTTTATAATCATTTATTCAGCATAGCCAGGAAATAGATCTTGTTTACAGGTCAATTTTTTGTTGAGCTCTAACACTGGGTTATGAACTCTTATATAATACTATAAATATCTTCTTTTATATATTTACTGGGATACTCACTTTGGTTAGGCGACTGCTTTTAAATAATCCAATAACTAGTTCTTGTTTAAAATGTTTTATTTTTAGAACTTTTTTTTTTTATTTAAATCTTTAATTCTTGTACAAATAATATCAAATTTTACACACAAAAAAAACTTCGTTTTTGAATATAAATTAAGGGTTTTTGATTTCGCTTTGTAACCAGTTTCGGAAAGTAGTTTGTTTTAACTTGAAAGTTTCGTGAATTAAATAGGCCGGGTGAATAAAAATGAGCAATTGCTTTTACTCAGTAATTGGTTAGCTTTACGTGAATAAAAACTTTATCAGTTTTACTTTAATTTTTATTCACGTGAAGCTAAGCAATTTAATCAGTAATTGAGTAAATTGCTTAGCTTATAATACTAGAATTCTGACCGAGAAAGAGCTTATAAATATGAAAAATTGCGAATAAACGATCAGAACAGATCATATTGTTAAACTATTATGTTCATTTCACCTAAAAACGTATCAATTTAAAATCTTATTCAAATTTGGACGAGCGATTGTGATTTTAAGATGATTTAAAAAAAAAAAAAAAAATTTTTCGTCTGAGTTTTTTCGCTACAAACATTTTTATTTTATGATACCGCAAAGTTTATTATTTTAATATTTTTCGTCTTTTTATCATTCACAGACCTGACCATTTAACAAAAATATGTCGTAGTCAAGAAAATATCATACAGACGCTATAATATTTTAAAAGTGCATTGACTACACCGAGTAGTAACGGAAAATTTGTATCTCCTTGCTGAAATTGATGTCATCTCTAAATGACTCCCCTTTTTTATATTCGTGTTCCTTTACAGTGTTACGGAGAGGGTACTTCCATCTAAAATACGTTCTCTTTTCACAACAATCTCTTCCCATACAGTCTTAAAAACAAGGTAAAATCAATCGCAAGGTAAAGAGATTGATGATCTGTCAGAGAGTTTTTTGGACAGAGCCTCCGATCATTTTTGTTTTATTACCTAATTATAGTGTGTGTCCAGGGGTTGCAAGCGATGCACAGTGGGCCAGAATTCACTTTTACTGGACAAAATTCATAACTAATTTAATATTAGAGCTATATTCACTCAAACTAGCATGAGTACTAATATGATGTCTGCGCTTTTTATGAAGGTAATATTTTTTATTTCTTTGCTATGGATACCTTTATTTTGCTTAGCAATAACCTATTTTTGTTATCTGCCGATATTTTATGAGTGCTATATTCCCTAAATTTGGCATTAGTACCAATATGACATCACACTTATCATAAAAGTGATAATTTTTTTAATTTAGTTGCTATGGATACTTATATTGCTTAGTTACCAGATACTTTCCTTAGTTACAATGATGTAAGTTGATATTTTGAATATTCTATCGGATTTTCGACCCACCTATATTGAATAACAATTAATTTTTTAGGTTGATAATGTTTTTGCAATAATAAAAACAAAAAAATAGTGCAAGAAAATATTGTCAATTTAAATTACATCAAAAAATTATAAGACAATAACGTTTAAAAATTGTTTAAGTAGTTGTAAAACATCTAAAGGAAATGCTTTATGATTTGTTCGGTGTGATGTTGATTTTCGCAGTGATGAAATAACAGGATCATTGGAAACTAGAAGTTTTTCGGCTGAAACTTTTGCGATAAGATTTGAAATCTTTATTTCTAGCTTCTTGAGCTTCCTCTGACAAGTCCGATGGGTAATGTAAGGTTTTTAATTATGTCATGTCCATGTATCAATACTTTGTGAACTCATTGAGCCATGTAATACCATGGATAAAGAGACACATATAGTCTAACCGTGTCAAAACAATAATCCTTGAATTTTAAGCTGTTTATTTCATATCCTGAAGAGAGTGTTACCAAGATAATGTAAAATTTGAATATAAGGTTTTGATTAATACCCAGAATTTTAGCTGTTTGTTCATATGCTGCAAAAGCACGCCTTGAGGTATTGCCATCATTGCTTGTTCCAGAACCACACTTTTAGGGAAATCAACAACAACTCCCATTTTGTTGATAAAATCAGTCTGAATCTTTTGTTTAGCTAGAGATGCCTTTGTGTTCGTTGGATCTTGCTTGCCACTTTTTTGTTTCTTTTTTATATGCAATTTGCAAAACCATCTCAAAAAATTGAATCCATGCATGAAGAATGGAAAGATCATATTTGAACTCTCCATTAGTATAATCTATATTAAGGATATCAAGACTATTCATATTTTTTAGAGAGATACCACACACTGAACAGCATTGGTATGAGTTATTTTTCTCCGATAATATCGTTTGAACCTTCCCATCAATCATTGTTAGTTCAATAATACAATTTACTTCAATTGAAGAACCGCAAACCTCTAATAAAATTACACCCAAGCTTTCTATATCACTTTTATTGTACTGATCTTCTTCGATCACAGATTCCTTGGATTCCGTTTTGTAAGCAAATCTTATGGGTCTACAATAGGCTGTGGATGACAACTTTCGATTTCTCCAAATAGGGACCTTTTCGTTACTTTTGCTAAATCCAGTCAAATCCAATGGGGGACTAGAAAAGTAATAAATAATGATTCTTCACACTTTAAATCTCTGTTCATGTCAAGTTCTGATAAAACTTGCTTATAAATGCTTTAGCCAGTAGCACCATCAAAACCAGCCTTACACGTGAGTGTCATTGTTTTTATTGCTTTGTCGTTTATTATTAAGTGCCTCAGCACAGGTTCCTGAACTGCAAAGATTTTTTGCAAAGTATGAATCATTAAATCTTTTAAAGGAACTGAAGCTGAATAGTCCTCCACTGTTATGTTTGAAGGATAACATTTCAATTTTGCATCTCTGACATCATTGTATGCGGGGTAGAGGTTATATTCTTTCTTCAAAGCTCCGCTTCTAATCAATTGATACGAAGCTTTTGTCAGACTGGCATCAATTATTAAAGCCAGTGCTTTGTCTGCTGAATATTTAGTTGCTTTATCTTTATTTGAAATATTTAAAATGTTCTTGGCAGCACTAACAATAGTTATCTATTGTTAGTGCTGCCAAGAACGGCAGCACTAACAATAGATAACTATGTTGTTGTTTTTTCTGACAATTAAATATTCATTAAGCCAATTTACAAACTTTTTTTCAAAATTTTTTAACAGTATAGTTTGCAGATTTCCACTTTTTCTACAGCACAAACCTTAGCAGAAGTAGATGGTATCGACGACAAACCAATTTCATCACAATTACACTGAATAACAACCCAAAAATATCTTGTTTGATGATTACATTTTCTAAAGCAGTTTTTCATGCTGATTACAAATCTGAAAACCGTTTTTCTCTATCACGTCAGGTTTTTAAGATATTAACATAAACATACATTTTTTAATCCCTTATTGTTACGAATGAATAAGAAAATAGAGTTTAGTTTACTAAGTTAATAACAGATGGCAACACTAAACATATTCTTTTGATATTTTAAATTGATATATTCTGTTCTGAAAATAGGTCTTTAGTGTACTTAATTTGTAACTGTATGTTTATTAATGAGTTGTGTGTTTTTTATGAGTTATACTATTCCTATATATTTGCTATTTTTTTTCAGTGAAAACAATAGCGTCTAGAGGCTGCATCAATTCACCAGACTTGTTTTGTTATGTGTGCGGCTATCTCACAGACAAAGGCCACCGAAAGACATTTACACCATTTCTGAGAAAAGCTTATGAACTATACTTTGATTCAAAGGTTGACAGCGGCAAGTCATGGGCACCACAGTTCATTTGTTTGACATGTGCATGCAACTTACGGGGTTGGATAAGGAATGCTAAAAATAACAACCATCTGGCATTTGGAGTTCCTATGATATGGCGTGAGTCAAGCAACCACATCACTGACTGTTATTTCTGTTTGACAAATGTCACAGGTTTCTCATACAAGACTCGTTCATCTGTGAAGTATCCAGATATTCCTCGGTTTCAAAACCAATTCCACATGATCCAGTCAGTTGTCCAATACCAACATCACTTACAGAATACAGAGTCGATGATGCAACACAAGAAGAAAGTTCGTCTTCCAGCAACATGGCAGACTCTGACTACAATCCTGATGATGATGAAATTCATTTGATTAATAATGATGATCTTTGCGACCTTGTAAGGGACCTGGCACTAACAAAAGGTCAAGCTGAACTGCTAGGTTCACGTCTGAAAGAGTTTAATTTGCTATCACCAGGTACAAGAACTTCACAATTTCGACATAGACACAAAGAACTCGTGCAGTTCTTTGCAATGAGTGACAATATGTGCTACTGCACTGACATCCAAGGTCTTATGTCAAGCCTCGGTGTAGAACATAAGACTGAAGCATGGCGTCTATTTATTGATTCCTCCAAGGCAAGTTTGAAGGCTGTATTATTACACAATGGAAACATGTATGCATCAGTACCGGTTGGTTATTCTACTCATCTAAAAGAGACGTACGAAACCATGTCACTACTTCTTGAAAAAATTTGCTATCGCGATTACAATTGGAATATGTGTGGTGATTTAAAAGTGATCACTATTCTCATGGGAATGCAGACAGGGTACACCAAGTACTGCTGCTTTATCTGCGAGTGGCACAGCAGAGATAGGAAGCACCACTATATAAATAAGAATTGGCCCATTATGAGATAAAATGGAGCCAGGTAGTAAAAACGTCCTGCATGTGCCATTGGTTGAGCGTGAAAAAGTTCTTATGCCTCCACTTCATATAAAGCTGGGGCTCATGAAAAACTTCGTGAAGGCATTAGACAAAAACTCATATGCTTTTCGGTACCTATGCAACAAGTTTCCAGAGTTGAGTTATGCGAAAGTGAAAGAAGGTGTATTCATAGGTCCACAAATAAAGAAGATCATAGCAGACAGTCACTTCGAAGATTTACTCAGCAGAACTGAAAAAAAAGCATGGTTGGCATTTAAGTCTGTTGTAGCCAATTTCCTTGGAAATAATAAATCTCCTGACTATGTAAATATTGTGCAGAAGTGCATTAGTGCGTACAAGTTAATGGGTTGTAACATGTCCCTCAAGATTCATCTCCTCGACTCACATCTCGACTTCTTTCCAGAAAACCTAGGTTCTGTTAGTGATGAACATGGTGAACGTTTCCATCAGGACATCTCGGTGATGG